ACTCTAATGTCCCATTGGATGCAACGAACCCCCCTTTAAATGAGATTATGCGGTTGAAGTTACGGAATAATTCAGTACCGGTGCTGTTTTCCCTCAGTAGGGATCTTCGATCGTATTGAAGCATCCGGTCTGGTCGCCGGGTTTTCGGTCCAGCACGCGCCTTGTATTAGGATCAAAGCTCCTCGCTGTGAACTGTGGAAGCCGGGAGGGAGACCGGAAGGGGGGGGGACAACCGCCGATGTTCGAGGGAGCTATCCGATTGTTGTACCAATCTCCCCCGGTCTGAGTGCTGCTCTGATCATGGGTTGCTTTAACACCCTGAATATCGTCCCTTGCCACCCCTCCAGTCTCACCCTGAGCCCACGTCCAGTGCAGACAGAGCAGCAACACCAGAAAAACTGTAGCACTCCTCATTCTGAAATATCACCTGTTTAGACAACAAGATGGAGTCTAACATGTCCCGCTCAACTCCCGTCTTTATATACACATAAATAAGGGGTCACTGAAAGCTGCATGAGAATTAAGCATATGTCTTTGATAACAAATTTAATAATTAACTCCAAACATTCTGTAACACTGTGCTGATTTTAAAGCACAAGTATTTTGAATTATGCTCTTAATATATAAAAACTAATGATTTATAATATATGCTTTCACAATAAATCTAAATGTAAATAACATAAATAACATTAGTGTCTAAACTGTTTGTGGAATTTCAGGGTCCGGGTTGGTTTTTCATACCTGGTTTACACTAAACTATCTGTACAAAAAGTCCAGTACTAATGTGTCTGTGAAATCATCTCTACATGTTTAACAGGTTTACATGGTGCTGATTGGTGAAGATGGGATCTCGCAGACAAGAGAACTACAAGTCCCAGGATGCACCCTCTTCAGGAGGAACTCTCAAGACACGTTTATATTCAGGTAAAAATACATCAATAGATATAAGGTGTACATTTTTTTCCACATTAAAATGCAACACATTTTACTACAATACTTCATAATACTTCCTGTAGCTTTAAGACATGACAAATTTGGTTTAGTCATTTTACTCTCTGTTTCTCTGTTTCTGATGCCACAGTGCAGCAGACATCCTGGGTCCAGTGTCGGGGGTCCACATCTGGCATGACAACTCTGGACCTTCCCCAAACTGGTACCTCAAACAAGTGGAGGTGTCTGAGGTAGGGCCCACCTGTTTGTGAATGTGCTATTTCCTCTGTGCTTGGACTTCCATCAACATGGCTTGTTTGTCTGCTGTTGTTTACAGCTGTAACAAAATATTAAAAAATACTACATCGTGATATTTTAATGCGCAAAAATATATGTTTTTGTGTTTTAAGCCCCAACCGCTTAATAGCAGTGTTATAGATGTAAACTGAGGGCTATGAATACAATTGCTTATCCCACTGTTCTGGCTGGATGAAAAAAATGTAATCAGCTTTTATGCATAAGGTGGTGGGTTCTTTATATTATGCTAGCTTTCTTTTATTAGATTAAAAAAATATATGCACAATATATTGCCTTGCTTACAGTATCAATCAACCCTGGTGATATGTATCATATTGCCAGATTCTTGCCAATAAACAGCCCTACTGTTGTTACAGGTGAACAGAGGGCATGTAAAGGGACGTGCTTGGCTCTTTGTCGGTCAGTGCTGGTTGGCTGTGAACAAAGGTGATGGCCGGGTGGAGAGAATGCTGCAAGTCTGCACTCAGGGAATAGGCTTTGCCAAGGTAAAGCACTAACATACTCAAATCAACTTTATTTACATAGCACCTTTCATACAAACAAGCAGCCCAAAGTGCTTTACATAGCAAATTGAAACAATGCATAAAAACAAACTGCACAACCATAAATAAAATACACATATAAACAAAAACAAAAAAACATCTCCCATGTGATCTCCAGTTCTCCACCTGTATCCTTGCAGATGTTGATTCTCAAGCTATCTGACTACTTGGCCGACCACCACGTCTGGATATCTGTGCACAGCTGCCCCTGCCCTAACTCGTTCACACACACTCAAAGACTTGGCGTGAGCCTGCTGCTACTGTTGGGCTATGCATGTGTCAACACAGTGATCATATCACAGATGGATGAACAGGTAGGTTAATAAAAAGTTTGAGATTCGGTGCATGAACTTTCCAAAACACGTCACTCAAACTCCTCCTGCTGTTCCTGATCTCTTGTTTACAGTTGCAGGTCGAGTTGGGCATTATTGATGTATCAGCTGTTTCCGTGACGACCGGAGTCCTAAGTGTGATGGCAGTGTTGCCTGCGGCAGCAATGATATCCTTCCTGTTCCGACTGCATGAGGTCGAGTTGACGGGGTCAGGAGTCCAACAAGGGAAGGGCAGAAGGACTGAAAAGGACATTTTTGAAGGTGATGTTTGTACTTAAGGAACCAGTGTGGTAGTGATTTATAGTGCATCTAGGTTGGTTGAAGTTGCAGATTTGCCAACTAATTGTAACACCACCTCGCATCTGTATTTGACGACCTGAGAATGAGAACAGGCTGTAAAGTGTGGAGGAGAAACCACAATGGCTGCTGAATGTGCGAAAAATACATCCCTATCTAGAGCCAGTGTTTGGTTTGTCCTTTCTGGACTACTGTAGAAACATGGCTGACTCCATGGAAGGCGACCCGCAGCGTCTGTAGGTAAAAATGGCTCATTCTAAGGTAACAAAACACAATTTCCTATATTCAGGTGACAAATGATAATATTGTTATGCATATTGTATTCCATGTCTGGCTCCTAAATGTTACACACTGGACCTGTTAATCTTTTAGTTTATTCTTTACTTTTCTTGTTACCTCACCTCCCTTTGTTATTTATCCTTATTTTATCATTGTTTTGTCTCCTCACAGATGCCCTTTCAGTGAGTGACAGTGTGTTTGAGCCTTATCTGTCTTGGAGTGGTCTCTCACAGTGGGCGCAAGAAGCCTGGAGGAAGAAATACCAGGTTACACCTCGAGCATCAATTTTCTGTCTCCTCTTTTGCCCTTTCTCTACGTCTTTGTTCTCACAGCATTTTTCACCCTATCTGACCCTTCTTGTCTATTAGGCCACAGACCTGCTGCCAGGGTCCACTACGATTCTGGAAAATAAAAACAAAGATAAAGAACCTGTAATCCAAACAGATGTGGTCATAAGAAAGGAGGCAGTTGAGAACAATATGGGGCTAGCGCTTCAGGATTTGTTACTGATTACTGAGGGGTACAATGTTGATCCAGCACCTCAGGGAAAAGATTCTGAGCTTTTAAGTGAAAGCAGCAGGTTTCACAGAACCCAGAAAGCTCTTTTGTCTGATCTGACGGATGGAGGTCAAGCTATCCAGAAGGGGGAAGATCCTCAAGGGACAAGGAAGGAAGGCAGTGATCACCAGGCAGCATGGCCTGATCACAACAGTTGTTACCACATCACTGACAGGCTGAAAGCGCGAAGATTCAGACCAGTATCTCAGTGGTGTCACTATTTGGCCTGGACAGTGTGTCTGCTGTTGTCCCTCTCCTGCCTGATGCTCTCTGCAGTGCTGGGAACGAGGTAGTACATATGTGATGGCATTAAATGGATGGTTGTGAACCATTTAGTAGTGTGGATTATGCTTAACACTGACCTTTGGAAACATGAGATCCCGTGTTATAACTGTATGTCTCAGACTCAAAACTATATAATCTATGTTTCTGTGTATCTGTCAGGTTCAGCAGCAGCAAGATTCTGCTGTGGATACACTCTCTTTTTGTCTCCCTCATGTCATGCATCTTCCTCATCCAGCCAGTTGTGGTAAACTAATACCAGCCTTTTGTAAACTATATTTCAAATAAATAGACCTATAATCCATAATCCTAAATTGGAATTCAATTCTTTGCACTGTACTGTAGATAGAAAACATGTTATTTTTCTTTTCCAGATAATTACAGTGGCAGTGGCTGTCTCCTTTTGGTACAGGAAAAGAGCAGACTTTCATACTTTTTCCAGTATAAGAGAGTTTGAGATAGAGACTTCAAAACCATGGAGCCATGGTGCTAATGCTGAGCTTGAAAAGGTGATCACAAGACTCTGTTTTGTTTTATTCAGTTCTTATCTGTTTTACTCTATTAAAACACCAAGTCAATTATCTCTGACTGACAGCTGCTTGGAGCTCGTCAGCGAGCTCGGTACCTTCGTCTTGTGCGCCCGCCGACCCCAGCAGAGCTGAGGAAAGTTCGCAGGAAGAAAAGAAGAGAGACTCTTATCCATAACACCCTCAGGTGAGTCTTTGTGTATGTGTGCAGCTTTTTATATGATGTTTCAGCTGTAGGAACTATCTTACATTATCTGTCTTTCTCTTGTCATCCAGGGATTTGTCCGTATGTGGCTCCATGCTTTTCCTGATGCTGTGTATAAATTATGGCAGCTCGTTCAGTGACCATTACCACCTCAATAAAGCTATCAGAAAACAGTTTATAAGGTAACATTTGCATGTGTTTGCTGTCTTTTTCCCTATTGCTCTCTGATAAACACACTCCAGGCACTCTAAGATCATATTTTATGTTTCAACAGGGGCCATGATAATGCATTTATGTCCATACAAAAGCATGAAGACTGGTGGAGGTGGGCACAGACCAGTCTCCTTAATATACTGTACAAGAATGCATCAGCCGCAGCTGCGGTAAGCTACAGGAGCTCTGCAGTGATTCATCACTCTCTGACAGTTTCTAAAATACAACAACTTACTCAAAGAAATGTTCCTGTGAGGGATAGAGCTTATTTTGTATCTAATCATTATAAAACCCTTTTAATCACTCAACAGTCATACATCTTGATTGGAGAGCCACTCTTGTGGGAGACAGAGGTGTCCAGTTCATTTCACAGCCAGGTAAGTAACAAAAGGAGACTTGCCTTTACATGCAATATTCCACTACTTTTTTAACCTAAATTATACTATATATTATATATTAAAATTAAATAATTTGGCATCATAGTTACAGTCACTAAAAATATATGTTCATGTTTTTTTCAAATGATTCCCTAAAATTTGATATTGCACACATTAAAAACAAAGATTGGTAACAATTTTTCATAACTGAAGTGAAATAAGCAACCACATAATTGCTGAATGATCCAGTGAACGATTTTATTTTAATTTCAAGCAAATAACCAGTCACATGGTATTCTCACTCAATTAAATAATTTCCCTCTGGGATTATTAAAGTATTTCTGATTTCTGATTTCTGATTTCTGAAGAGCACCCCCAGTAGAGAGTGCTGTTTATCCAACATGGACCCACGCCGCAATAGACTGTCAGGGTTTAGAGATGAATGAGTGCATTTATCAAAACTACCATCATTTCACATTTACTACAAGCAGGATTTCCACATGGGTCTCAAAAGGCTAAAAACCAATAATCTGATTTTAAGCCTTAAAATGTGTTACATAGGATTTTTACAGGTCTTAAAAATTGATTGCATTAAATGTATTCTTAGAAAAACTTTGTATTGTGACAACTGATTCCTTGCTGAAGCACCCATGGGCTCAAATCCAACCTGTGGCTCTTTGCTCCATGACATCCCCTCTTGTTCTCCCCCTTTCCTGTCTATCTTCAGCTATCTTATCCAATAAGATAGATAGATAGATGGATAGATACTTTATTTATTCCGAGGGAAATTCAGGCCCCAAAAAATATGTTTTTAAAAAGTCTTTAATCTAACCTGATAAACTCACACCACCAGTGTCACCTTTGATTCATGATTTTGCTTTGTGTGTATTCTGACTGTCTGCACTGTGTATGACTCCACAGGTCTCTACTGTGACGCTTGTACCAGAATGTCTTCGGTTGTTCTTGTCCAGGAACAGAACATCTTATCATCTACACTCAAATGTCTTACTTGAAACACCTCCAAGGACATGTGGTCACCTGGGCTGCTACTTAGAACCAAGTGCTATAGTTGGATTAGGCCACACAAAGTAAGAAACACACACACAATGATACTTTTTTTCCCAAATTTGATCTTTGCCAAAATGATTTCCTGTGGCGTCAACTCTAATGTATATAATATCATCGCTACCATCATTGAGCTGTCCTCCACTCTTCCACAGGTCTGACGCTGCATCCAGACTGAAGCTCCTGCATTCAGGTGGCTGGCTGGGCAGACAGACGGTGGCCGTGAAGGTCCAGTTCACCTTGTACAGCCCTGCGCCCAACTTATTCACCGACGTGACAATGCTCGCTGAGCAGAGCCCCACCGGTGTCCTGCTGACCTCTGCCAAAGTCCAGTCAGTTAGGGTTTATCACACTCCTGCTGTGTGGGACTATGTTGTTATGGTCTGCCAGGTACAATACTGCATTACCTGTTATCTGAATAAACAACTATTATTCCACACCATCATAAAGCCTCAGAAAGCAAATTATACAGACAAAACTTTCTACAACCAAATACATAATGAGATTTTAGGTCAGATTCTGTCAGAAAGCCTTAAGTTTCCTCATGTTTTTTCTTCGTACCCTCTAGCTCCTCTTCCTTCTCTTGTCTTTGATGCAACTCTGTGGTCAAGTAAACACTGTAGGGCAGCAAGGGCTGGTGGGATACTGGAGGACACCCTCCAACTGGCTGGAGGTGAGTCTAACGCCTATATACAAATACACACACATTTAAAAATTATTATTAATTTCGACAAAATAATTCCAAAGAAGACTTACATGCTTGAACATAGAGCAGACACATGGAAACATGCACATACTCAGACACACACACCAATGCAAACAAGATCACAATGACCTAGCCGAAAGGGTAAAGTAATCTGTAGCTCTTAAACTAACATACCTGTAGTAATGAAGGTCAAAGCACACAGCAAAGAATGAAATCTACCTGATTATGCTTTACCGGTGTACAGATATACCTGACTTTCTTTCTCTCTCTCTTGCAGGTCAGTTTGCTGACAGTAACCCTAGTGTACTACAATTATTACATCTATCGCTCCATTATTATCTTGGAGGTTGTGGAGCTGCTGCAGAGACACAATCACAGAGGACCTGTTGATGTCAGCCTCCTGGCTACCTGGGAACAAGTGAGAGAAAGAAAGAGATGACTCAAAGCAGGGAAAGGAGGGTTGTAGAGACAGGAAAACAAATATTTAATGTTGAGAGGACCGGCTACTGCCTGTCCTGCTTTATTTGTTTCAGTACCTTCTCTCAGAATATGAAAAGCCCCATCTTTAATAAGATAATAATGAGTGTATTGGCAGCACATAATTAAAACTTTGCATTTATCATTACATTGTACTTAAGAAGACACACCGTGTGCAAGGTTTTGTTGTTTTTGTCAAACACACCCTTAATACACAAGGAAAGCTCAAGTTTGTGGTTGAGAAGTCCTTTAGAGATAACAGTGTGGGTTGTAAAAATGACGGCAATGATTCACAGGGTTTAAGACGTCTTTTGTGTCTGCAGTATATTCGTACGCTGCATGGTGTTGCGCTCTTCCTCCTCACCATGAAGTGTGCGACTCTGTTGAGGGTGAACCGCTCTGCTACACTCCTCACCCGCTCACTCTCCAGCCTTCTCTGGCCAACGGTAAACACCTTGTGCAGCAAGACCACCAGTTAGGCACTACCTGATGAAATATTATAAAGTATAAAGTATTCCACATGTTTTGCTTTCATGTGTGCTACAGTGTGAGGTTGTTCCTGATTATGTAACACAATAGCCTTATTAATATACTGCACTCCTGTTCAGTTGGAGGACTTGGAAAAATGTCTCATTAATGCAATTCCTATAGTGTCCTACCTACACAGGTTATGCTGAAAAAGTGTAGAAACTGTTGTTTGCAGGTATGATGTTAGGAATGGAAATATTTTCAGAATATTGTGCTTTCTTGTAGTACTTGAATGTCGAAGTGGCCTTCCTATTGTATAGTTTGAGACCCCTCCACTAGAGTGTCTGAAATAATAAAAATGGTCTCCTTCTACTGTCCAAGATTTCAGGTCTTATCCTGATGGTGGCGCTGTCCTGTGTGGGGAATCTCCTGTTCGTACAAAGCTCCTTAGCCTTCAGCTCATTTTCCCGCACCTTTCAGACTCTGCTGCACTGCTGGGGTCCCAGAGCCGTTAAGGGCCTCCTCCTCTCAGAGCATGATCTCCTTTACCGTGGCATTCTCTATCTGTCATCCTCTGTGGTGTGGACAGCAGTGGTATATATAAACTAATAATAATATTACTTTTTTTTTTGATTGAATAGACTGATTTATGCATAAATTAAGTATCTGCACAACTTATTTTTTAGTGAAGGAAACAGTCTGTCAGAGTCTAGATGAGTCTAACAGCCATCTGTCTTTCTTGTAGGCGATAGGTGTTGTGTCCTCATTGGTCAGAGGTGCCAAAAGATCTCAAAGCAGGGGGAATGTTTTCACTGTAGCTGAATTAGCTGGCTACATCAGACAGAGGGTCTCTGACTTTACTGGGCAGCGGAGACAAGCATGGATCGAAAATCATGTGGAAGGAAAGGTAAGAAATAAGCTACCTAGTCCATAAAAAGAGCAGGACTTACACTTTGCAATTAAACTGAGATTTCTTGTAAAATATTACATTATCATTAAAGTTGCTTTTAAATTTTTATATATTATTTTCACATGACCTTGTGTGAACTACTCAGATTATTTCTGAGCTACTAAATCTGGATTATTGATTACTATCTCACGCTACTCTGCCTCCTCAAATGTTCCACATCATACTGCCTAATTATATTAGTTATACTAAAATTCAGAAGCCAATGACTTTGCCTTTTGGTTTTTCAGACTTACTACTTTGAGGAGTTTGAAGGTTTGGTGGATGAACTATTGTTCAGACTAAACGCCCTCTCAAACAGTCTGCACCACACTCTGCCCCCCAAAGCCCATCGCTACAGGGAGGAGAACAGTCCTGTCATCTCACCCATACAGGAGCCGTCCAACAGGGATGCACAGGCGAGTCAGCCTCATATACATACTTTCTCTCACACACAATACATTGTTTTAAAAATGTGTCTTCTGCAAAGCCGATGTCCTAACATTGTGTGATTCTGTTACAGGACTTAATAAGAACAAAAATGACAGAAGAGACGATGATAAAAGATTGCACAGATGTCAGTGGGCACGGAGAAACCCTACCTGCATCTCACCTGCTCCGGTAATAAAAAACCTCATGCATCTACTTAGGCTATAAAGAATTCTTAAGCAAATTTTGAAATGTAAATTACAAACTGATAAGAGTTTCTACCTTATTTTGCGCAACACTGCATTTCCAGGTCAACGCTTGAACTAGAGATACTGCAGTTCCTGCAGCAGAACGACCAACAAGGAGAAAATCCCACCCCAGACATTGTTGTGGCATCAGATAATTCACAACATGGAACAAGAGTCAAAGAAAACCCTATAAACAGAAAGTTCCAGACTTATTTAAAGGCACAAAACTACCTGCCCCTCTCAGACTCAGCATCACTCATCAGGGTTTGGACAGAAGATGTTCTGGAGAAGCAGGCTGACCAATGCATTCAAACAAATGACAGCAGCTGGTTAAGTAAAACTCAGGCCACCCACACAGAGGTGGTGGTGGAAGTTCTGGTCCATGAGGAGCCTGCGAGTGTAGAGCCAGATAAACAGTAGAGTCCAGTAGATGTTTCAAAGGTCTACATTTATTAAACTGTTAGTTATACTGTATAGGAATAATACTGTATTCCATCTGCTTGGATATTACCTGGATCACATAAACATTTAAAATAAGGCTTCTAATAATGGTGGGTACTTTATAAGTAACTATCATTACAAAAAAACATTATAACTAGTTTTTTGTGACTTTGTAACTGATTAATGGATTAATAAAAATACATTTTCAGTCTGAAGGTTGTGTGTACAAAGTTATTTCTACCCTTTTATAATAAGCAATCAGTTCTTCAGTTTGACATATTAGTAATGTATTTTAATTTAGATTGTCTGCAGTTGTCTGTCCTTATTCCCTAAGAGCTGACTACTGTGTTATCTGTTTTGTAAAGCAGTATTTGTTTGCAAACAATAAAAGTGCCTTCTATAAGAATCCAGTGTGAACAGTTGTTCTGGGATATACACCCTCAAGATATATATATTTTAAAGAGGTTTGCTGTCTAAATTCTAACCCTTAGGCTTTAAAAACTGAAACACTGTGATAAAGAGTCACTGTTTGTGTAAATAAAGTTGGTACATCAAATACGGTCTTTCCAACCCACTGGCAAAGTGTGTAGAAGTTATGTGTGGCAGAAGTCCAAGAAGGGAAACAATAAATAAAAGCATCCAATCGCATCCCCCAACGTATAATTGAGTGGCGGAGTGTGATTGGAGGACAGCAGACGATGAGAGCCAATCACGACGTGGCAAGTCAGACAAGTTCCAGACGGAGGAGGCGGCGTGCGTGATTTCACGACTGATTAGTTTGTGTGAAACCACGAGCCAAAGGCGTTCACAGCCGCACATCAGTATTGATCCGGACGGCGGGTCTGTGCAGCCGACAGTGTTTGGATGACACCCATCAGTGTTATTAGCGGAGTCAATTAGCCGGCTACGTCCGAGAAGCACGTCGTTAACCAGCGGACCGCGTCATCTTTGGACAATGAGGAAGGTGGCTCTGCTGCTGATAGTGTTGCTCGGCGTTGCACATTTTGCAACTGTCAGCAGATGTGAGGAGGGTAAGTCATTCCAGAGCCTTGTGTGTTGCATTGCAGCTGAACGCGTCGTTGAAGTGAAGCAGTGTCGCAGCTGCTGTTCGTTATCTGTGACTTACAAACTGGCCAAGTTACTGTAACGTCTTGCTGCTTCTGCTAGCACGATAGCTAACAGGACAGGTGAGCTAATGTCAACAGGACCGGCAGACACGTCCAGATGTGCACTGCTGTGACGTTGGACGTGTCCTAAAGCTTGGTTCAGCTTGGTTCTGCTACAACGTTACACATTGTGACAGTACAGGAAGGCTCTGTTACAAACAGGATGTGTGTTGCTACCACATGCTACATGTTATCTCTGTACTTTAATCTAATGCTATCAGGAGTAAAAGAAGCAGCATTTAGATGGACACACACACACACACACTGTTTGAGTTTATATAAGTTGCTCCTGGAATCAGCTTGTGTCCTTTTCTTGTTTGCTGTCAGATGTTACAGAGGAGAAGGAGGAGTCTGATGAAGAGGACAGTGATGATGAGGAGGATGATGACGA